TGGGAGCACCATGCTAAGGACAAGGGCCTGGGGAAGATCTGGCAGAACCCAATCTCCTGTTTATCACGGAGAACAAAGTAGATGCCAATGAGGAAGGCTGCCTAAGCATCATCAACTGAAGGGGGGATGGCAGTCCCGTCTTACCCCAGACAGGGACACCTTGAGTCCTTTGAGAAAAAATAAACTGAAGCAAATAGAGGTTAACATGCTCACAAGAAAGTACACTAAAGAGAGCCAGCCGAAGGGATGGGAGTATTTAGTCTGGAAAGAACCAACTGCTCAGGCTATGACTGTGTGAAGCCTAGGCCTCTAAGTGAGCACGGCATTAGGCTAATATTCTCAAGGCCTTGGACTGTCCCTAAGAACAATCCTACCCAACAGCCCATCCCTCACCCCTCACCAAATGAACAAAGTAGGAGACAAGTTTCAGTTTCATATAAGAATTTCTGAACAGGACCGGCAGTTAGCGTAATAGCTATGTCGCTGAACTCCCATGTAGCTGACCACGGTTCGAGTCCCAGACTCAGTGGCTTAAACTCACGCGGGGCGCATGTGCGTGCGTGCCCAAGATCTCAAGAGGAGAATGAAGGAAAAGGGATTTCCGCGTAGCCATCCCCCCTGGGGGGTGATTTCTTGCTTTCTGTCTGTCTCTGTCTGTCTGGCGAGTGCATGCACCCTATAGCAAAAACCTCTCCAAAATATAGTAATAATTTTTTCTGAACAAAACTGTGCAGTGGTAGAACACACTGCCTCGTAAAATGGGAGTACTGAAGTATAAATCTGGATTATCTGGCAAAACAATATGCATACAGTATTAACATAACATTGTTAATAATGTATCCATTGGCCCTCTGCTAGGCTCCTGTCCATCCCGCCTCAAAAGGGGATTGCACGGTCATGTGTGCGGTCATGTGTGCGTACATGCCCAAGATCCCAAGAGGAGAATGGAGGAGAAGGGATTGTGGCGTGACCATCCCCCCTGGGGGGTGATTTCTCGCTTTCTGTCTCTATGTCTCTGTCTGTCTGGCGAGCGCACGCGCCCATAGCGAAAAAAACCTCTCCAAAAAAAAAGGGGGATTGCAGCTGCAGATAACTGCTAAGGCTCTTTTTTGGCCTGAGACCGTGAATCTATCTGGATTTCGAAAATTAACTGTCACAATGCACAATGCATCTTGACAGCAATCCATCTTAATAGCATGCCTTTCCTCTTCCTGCACAGGCAAACCTCCCTCTTTCCATCAGGGCCTTTGCAGAGGAAATTTCCCTTGTAATACAACAGCACAGCCCTGGGTTTGTTCCACCGTCAGCAGCAACACGACCCCACAATCCTTAGCTATGTCTTTTAGGAAAGAGTACCCTCCGGGTGCCTGGTCTCTGGCAGCAGCAGCGTCCAGGGCTGGCACCCCATCCCATGACCCAAAATATGAACGTGTTCAAGAACCAAAAGAAAGCCAACGATCAGTCCTGGGCCATGAGTCCCGGTTCTAGGGGCGACGCGCTGCCCTTACCTTCTACCGACGGAGAGAAGATGATGAGATTGTCATAGAGGAACTCCCCGTACTTAATGAGAGACAGGCTGGGGTCATCCGCCGTCTTGAAAGTGAGTTCAAAGCTCCGATCTGCACGAAAACGCAAGAAACTGAAGCAGGTGGGACGCAAAGGAAACCCTCTGCTGCAGACGTCGCAACCCGCTAACCCAAGCGGCAAGCCAGGCCTGGGTGGCTTGCTCCAGGAAACCGAGTGCGAGGGAGGGTGGTCGATACCTGGGCCCGGGGGCCTTTCCGACCCGAGTCTCACCCGCCGCCCCCTGGGACCCCGCTCTCACCTTTCAGGCTCCGGAAGAAAAGCGAGTGCGTCTCGCGCAGGTTGAGGTTGTCCAACAACACCAAGGTGCGGGGACCGCTGGCGCTGACCGAGCCAAGCAAGAGCAGCAGCAGCCGTAAGGGGGGCCAGGCACGGACCGCAGAGCCGGGCTCCATCTTCCCCTTCCTGCCAGAGAACCCAGCACCTGGACACCGGAAATGCCCCCTCGGCGGCCGCCCAATCGTGGCTCGCCGCCGTGGAGAACCCCCGGAAGTGACCCGAACGCGCCGAGGCCCGGCGTCCGAAGTCCGGGCTTTGGCTTTAAGGTGCAGGGAGCAACCCCGGAAGTGCGTCGGCAGCGGCCTGGTTCTTAGGACCGTATTGGTGAAAGCGGCGCAAGGTCCCGCCCACCGAAAGAAACAGGCTCAATCCTAGAGGGACAGCTCTGTAGCTGCGGCCAATCAACAGGGCCGTGCACCCAGGCCGGTCTCCCGCCGCTCGGTCCAAGCCCGCTTCCCTCCGGTGCGGGTGGTGGATCCGATCCATCTTTCCTCACTTGTCCAGGAGCTAGGAACCGGATTCCATCCCCACCACCTCTAGGGAGGAAGAGGGTGGGAAAATAAGATCAGGGCAGGGGTACTTGGAGCCTCCTGCCTGGGGCTCGTGGTTCCTCCGGCCATGGCACTGCCTTTCCACCCGGCCTGGGGGCCCACGTGGAGACTGCGCGGATGGGCGGTGGGCCGGCCGAGCGAGAGCTTGCGAGTTGGCTGGATTCCACTCCAGGGTCCTGGCACTAACCCTGCTACCCTGGCATTGCACTTCTCCCTGCCCAGCGTCTCGGTGTAAAGAGGGAGCGTAAGGAAGCCCTGCTCCCCTACTCACCCATGTGCCTTTGGAACGGCCGTTTCACAATCTCCTCCTCACCTGGCTCTTGGGTAGGACTGAGGCAGGTGTGAAGCACTTGGCACAAAGTTGGTGGAGCATCCACTCAGTAACACACGGGCCATCTGCCCAGCTGAGGCCTGCCTCGGGCCCACCACGGGTCTAACACTCCGAGACTGCAGCTGCGGTCTGGATTCCAACCCCAGTCCTGAAGCCGGTGGTGAATGTCATTGTGGAGAGAGAGGGTAGTGCTCTTTTCTTTTCACCAGTAGCGTCCAATTCAAGAATGGGGACAAAAATCAAAACGTCCCTCCATGCCTCTCCTTAACTGACTCTGCATTCCCACCGCTCTGCTCCAAGTTCAGTCTCCCACCTCTAACTCTTGCATGCAGCTCAGCCCTCCTGCCCTTCTGTACATGCCAGCCACAGCCACCTCTAATTCAGACTCAACCGTGCCAACCTGCTGTTCAGGAGTCTGCCACAGCTTAGGGATACCCAAAGGCTCTTCATTCTCAGTCCTCTGCCGAAAGTCATCTTGCAGCCTCATTCTCTTCAGGTCCCTGCTCAGGGCTTCCATAGGGCAGGTACTGGCCAGCCTAACTCCTGCCTTTGCTCATGCAGCTTCGGCCGCCAGGATCCCCACACTCCCATCTGAAATGTCTTGGTGTCTCCATCCTCTATGGGAGTCCCAACTCAATGCCGCTCCCTTTAGAAATGCACTGTTTGTTCCCCATAAAGCCCTGATCTCGCCTCCGACTCAGTAGGTACTGCAGGCTGCCTCCAGTTAGGCTCATCTCCAGAGTCGTCTAGCCCCTCCACCCCAGCAGCTCGAGTGTGAGCTCCGTGGCCCTGGCATGTGGCCTGTGGGGCCCAGCACAATAGCTGATGCAGAGTGAGGAGGACTGTCAGCATCCACTGTGCCCTGAAGCTTTACCCACTGTCTCATCAAACTTCCACAGTAACCCAGGAACTGGGTATTGCCACATGTCACAGACGAGGAGAGGCAGCCCTCAAGGTGGGCACAAGGGACAGCCTGGAGTGCCTTCTGGGTATGTCAGGACACCCAGTTCCAGCACAGAACCCTGAGGACTGTCCAAACCTGGGCCTTTTCTGCCTCAGCAAGGCATGGCCCTCTTTTCCATGACAAGGGCTCTGCTTTCCTGGGCCCCAGATCCTTCAAGAGGCTGATGGAAGTCCAGACACTCTTCCGAGAAAGCTGCCCTGGTACTGGTGATGCCGAGTGCTGCAGACGCCCTGGAGCCTGCTGGATCTGCAGGCCGGGGACACTAGCAGCCCTGTTTCAGAAGGCGCTTGCTTCCTCCTTGATGGCCGGGAAGCAATGGCAGGGAGGGGCCCTGGGTGCTGTCGGAGGGTCAGGGAAGGAGAGCACATGGCAAAGGCAGTTTATTGGGCAGCATGAGGTAAAGTGGCCCCTGGGCTGCAGACCAGCCAGGAGTGGGCGGTGTGGAGCTGCTGACCCAGGATTCTCCTGTGCCCACCCAACAACGCAGCCTCCCCTCAGGGTGGGCCGATCAGACTGAGGCACAGTTCTTGGTGGCCAAGATGTTGAGCTGCATCCATGGACCAGTTGCTGCCCACCCTGCCAGGGCTGTTGCTGAGGCCTTGAGGCAGCTCTGAGGCGTCTGAGCCCACTGAGGCAAAGACCGACACCATGGGCTCCGTAGCAGATGAGCAGCTACAAACACTGATGTGGACAGCTGGGCCAGGCCGCTTTCAAGAAGGACAGTCCAGCTTCTAAGGGGTGTGTACCCCAGGCAGAGGTGGGCTCTCTAGGGAGCAGAGAAGGGAATGTGTCTTCCCAGGGCTGATGGGCTTCTTGGGCCTGGGTCACTGTGGGGGGCCAGTGGGTGGAGGCCTGGTTGGAGCTGCTCAGGGAGGGCCTGGAAGTCTCTAGAAGCCTAAAGGCAGTAGCAGCGGAAGCGGCAGCTGTGTTCACAGAGGCTCACTGCCAAAGTTGCTTTTGCTTTTCTTACGCTTGGCCTTAGTGAAGGGGATTTCGAGGGACTCCAGACGGAAGGGCCTGGGCTGTGGCATTTCAGGGGCCTGGGGAGGGGAGAGGGTGGAGCTGTTGTTCAGGGGCGAGCTGAGGCCTGGTGGTGAGTTGTGATGCGCTGTGGAGAAGAAAGGCAGAGGGGGCTGATGAGCCAGGAGAGCAGGATGCTGTGAGAACACCCCTGTGTGCAGGGCAGAGGGTCTGGCCCACCCTGCACACTGCCAGAGGAGGTTCTAGCTAAGGTTTTTGTTTTTTTCTTGTTTTGGAGGTTTTTGCTATAGAGCACATGCGCTCGCCAGAAAGACAGACACAGAGAGACAGAAAGCAAGAAATTACCCTCTTACAGGGGGGATGGCCACGCCACAATCCATTCTCCTCTCGGGATCTTGGGCACGCACCTACATGCACCCAGCGTGAGTTTTAAGCCACCAGGTCCAGGACTCGAACCACGGTCAACTACATGGGAGTCCAGCGACATAGCCATTACACTAACTGCTGGTCCCTTATTTTTGTTTTTAAGAGAGATTTTTACTATAGGACATTTTGCTAGAGAGATAGAGAAACAGAAAGTGAGAAATCACCCCCTGGGGGGAATGGTCACGTGGCAATCCCTTCTCTTCCTTTCTCCTCTTGGGATCTTGGGCATGCACGCACACACGTGCCTAGCATGAGGTTTAACCCACTGAGTCTGGGACTTGAACTGCAGTCGACTACACGGGAGTCCAGTGACATAACCAATACGCCATCTTCTGGTCCTCTGGCTGAGTTCTTAGACCTAGCAGTACCTCTGCATCTCCAAGGGCCTGGGGTTTTAAAACCTAGTCTGAGGCAGCTGCAGTCTCCAGCTGGATGAGAGCCAGGTTCAAAGCCCACCCCCACCCTTGGGCAAGCCGCCATGCCCTCCGAGCCTCAGCTTCCTCACCTGCAACACAGGCGCCAGGCCAGGCTCTCGGTGGATGTCAGTTTCTTGTTGTCCTATCTCTTCCCCCTGTTCCACAGCTCTACCCACGCTGACTCTGAAATAACCCCTATATGGAACTAAGATTTGGGCCTGACCCCGTAACATGGCAGTCAAGCTCTGCTGCATCCCAGGGGGCCACTGCAGTTTGAATCCTGGCCCAGTGGCTTGAGGAACACACCCATGTATGCGTGCTGGGCACCCCAACGGGAGGAATGGAGAAGGGACTGCGGTGCGACCATGTCCCATTGGGTGCTTTCTCCCTCTCTCATCTCTAGTGAGCTCATGTGCCTACAAACAAAAAAAAATCTAGATCTGCTTTTTATTCGAAGCTCTATGGATCTCACGGGTTGTTTTTTTTTGTTTGTTTGTTTTTTTATCTCACAGTTTTAAACACAGAAGGATGGAGTGATTTTTCAGTTCTTTCTTGCTATAAGGCATGTGCGCTCACAGAGAGATAGAGAAAAAGGGAGAAATCACCCCCCATGGGGATGGCCATGCCACAATCCCTTCTCCATTCTCCTCTCAGGATTTTGGTCATGCACACACGAGTTTCAAGATGCTGGGACTCAAACCAGCCGCCATGTGGGAATCCAGCACCTTAACTACTATGCCACCTGCTGGCCCCAGTGATTTTCAATTCTTTTATTTTTTATTTATTTATTTTTTTGCTATAGGGTGCGTGCGCTTACCAGACAGACAGAGAGAGACAGAGAGATAGAAAGCGAGAAATCACCCCCCAGGGGGGATGGCCACGCCGCAATCCCTTCTCCTCCATTCTCCTCTCGGGATCTTAGGCATGCACGCACATGCGCCCAGCGTGAGTTTAAGCCACCGGGTCCGGGACTCACACCATGGTCAACTACGTGGGAGCCCAGCAACATAGCCATTACGCTAACTGCTCGTCCCGTTTTCAATTCTTGAAACTGTTTTACTCTCACAGCCCTTCTGCCCCCTTGGCTCAGCAGGCCTTGATAGAGGAAGTCGGCCATCCTCATTGAGAGCTGTCGCAGTACTGGCATCTGAGGAAGCCGGCGAGTCACTAGTGAGACCTGGACTAGCTTCCCACCCCATGCCAGGGCCCTGAGCCATGCGCTGAGGGCCTGCTGCATGTTGGGGAGATGGGTCAAAGGGCACCTTCCCCAAGACAAGGGGTAGAAGAGAGAGGAGACCAGGTATCAGCACCTACGAGGTGCTGGACCCTCATCTTATCGAATCCCGAGAAGTAGGTGTTAGCCCCCTCCTTTTAAAGCTGAAGAATCTGAGGCTCAGAGAGGGGAAGAGGTCTTTGAACCCAGATCCACCTGACTCCAAAACCAGGCCTTCCTGCCTGTCCCAGTTGGGGGGGGTGAGGGGAGATGGTTCTGGGGCGGGGTGGCTGCAAAGCCCACGGGCAGGGCACTCACTGAGGCTCTTCATGGGGTCCGTGCTGAGGATCTGGCTGGCCCGCTTGGACCGGAAGTAGTTACTGGCAACGTTTTCACTGTCGCTCCGACTGAGCATCAGCTTGTAGCGGTCTTCTTCCTAGGTCCTCATGGTCAGTCCCCCTGGCCCGAGCATCCTCAGCTGGGCCCTTGCCTAGGGTTGGCAGCCTCGGGGAGCCTGGTGAGTGGCGACTGCCCTGAGCCTCCCCAGGCTGTGTCCCTGGGTGCCAGTGGCCACTGCCCACTTCTGCACACCCTACTGTGGACCCCGGGCTCCTGGGTGGGTCCACGGCCTGCAGCTAAGCCCACAGCCTGCCCCACTTCTCCAGATGGGAAGTGCCTTGTTCTCTCCTGCCGGATCCAGCGGGGCACGTTGATAGTTGATTCCCCTCTCTATCAGGACACGGTCACAGAACACGTAGTTCACACTCAGCTCACAGGGACCTCTGTGATCATCAGGACTCAGTCCGAACCTTCCTGTCACCACCGCTGAACGGACTGTCTTCCTCAGCCTGAGTCTCTACTCTTCTCCTACTTGGCGTGGTCTCCACAGGGCGGTCATTCAGAGCACCCTGTACTACGCGGCTGGACCGTGACCCTGACTGCACCCATCCCAGAACTGTCTTCCTGAGTGTAGTCACAGCTAAGAGCAGATCACAACCCAGAGAAAACTAATCACTTTTCCTACGAAGCTTTGGTTTAAAGGTGCTTTAAGAGGCTGGGTCTCTGTTTCTTTCAGATGGTGATCTGATTGCAAGCAGCTGTCTTTCCTGCCATGTGGAGAAAGCCTGAAACTGGAGTAGCAGGTAGAAAAGAACTGAAGACACAGAACTCTGAGCCCCTAGGTCCAGCCATGCCTGAAGCTGGCCCACTTACATGAACCAAGAAATACCCCACTTTGCTTGTGATGGCTTTGGTCTCTAGCACTTGGAACTAAAAGCATTCAGACATAACCCCTTTGAAGTCCCAGGTTATGAAGGTTTTTTCCCCAGCACAACTTTCCCTTGTTGATGAATTTAAGCTACCAAAGCAGCTAGTGAAGATCTTTACCAGCATAAGGCAGTCTTTGGAGTCACTCTGAGTTGCCCAAGCAGAGATGCTAGGCTGGAACTTATTTAACCTGTGAGTGGCCTTGTCCTGACTAAAGGTATACTCTGTCCCAGTTCTCTGCAATGTGTGTAATGCTTTAAGGCAGGGATCAGCAAGTGATGGGCCTTTGGCCACATCTGGCCCACAGACTGCTTCTGTAAATAAAGTTTTATTGAAAACGCCATTCGGTTACATGGTACCTATGACCATTTTTGTGTGCCAATGCAGAGTCCAGTAGTTCTGACAGACCACATGGCTTGCTAGGCCTAAAATACACACTGTTGGCTCCGTAACAGAGAAAGTTTGCTGGCCCCTCGTTTTGCGCGAGGCCTAAAATATACACTGTTGGCTCCATAACAGAGAAAGTTTGCTGGCCCCTCGTTTTGGAGGAAACAGTTTCTCTGTCAAAGTAGCTGGTAGCTACTGTCGCCAGCAGCCACAGAGGCCCCGACAGAAGAGCACAGCAGGGGCTCCACCGGCACGGGTCCTTCTGGTCACCTTGCTCAGCTTGAGGGTCTGTGGGTGAGCAGGACTCAAACTTCCATGTTGCGGTTGGGTCACTAAAGCTGGGTCTGCACCCAGCCCCTGTGGGGCCACCTGGAAGTCCCCTGCAGGTGGATGTCTGTGGTGCTCGTCTCTCGAGGCCTTGGTGGCTACTGGTGACAGCTGCCAGCCTCATTCGTAGAGAAACTCGAAGAGCTCTGTTCAAAACATGCTTTCAGGACACTCCTCTGTTGCACTATGAAACGTGGAGGCAAGGACAGAAAAGAACTTTATTCTAAACCCAGTGACTTTCATGGACCCGTGAGGACCCTTTTGGTCTGAGGATACCAACCAGGGCCCAGGGAGTGAGAACGTGCTGCTGCTGGTGGGTTTGGAGCTGAAGCCCCTGCCCTTCACCAGCAGGATGGCTGCCTTAACCCACCTGCCGTCCTGCGGGCCTATGGCCGTAAGTGCCTCTGGATGAGGGCCAATCGGGGCTGGGGTCGAGGTGCCAGAGGAGTAACACAGGAAAGGAGGCAGCCTCGGCCCTGCCTTACCCTTAGGTGGGAGGAAAGCAATAAATACCCCACTTTGCTTGTGATTGTTTGGTATCTATCACTTAGAACTAAAAGCATTCAGACATAACCCCTTTGCAGTCTCAGGTTGTGCTGGGGAAAAATTCCCTGTAGTCAGGCCGCTCCACGGCACTTTGGGGTCCAAGCTTCTCCAGCTCCCCACTCCCACATCCTCTCCAGGGGCCTTACCAAGTTTGGTTCGCCGCTGTCTGCCGCTGAACTTTTGCGTGCTGGTTTGTTCTGTGGCCCAATGGGAACTGCCATGAGAAAAGAAAAGCTGAAGCCCTGCGGCCTAGTGCAAGGGCCAGAGGGCGCAGCAGGCTGCACACGCTCCCCAGGTGACCTGAGGCAGGAGTCAGCCTCGGGCTTGGAGACAAGGGAAGGCACTGCCAGCTCAAGCCCAGGGGTGCCTTTGGGACACAAGTAACAGGTCTCAGATGCCGGGGAAGCCGCATGCCTGCTGCCAGGCCAGACAGCGGGTGTGGGGGCAGGACAAAGGCTGCTGCTGCCCTGAGCTCGTGGGCCTGGGGAGAGGTCCACGGCTACCCACAACATTGGCACTGCCAGGCGTGAAGAAACACTCTGACCAGGGAAGGACCGTCAGAGCATTGCAGGAGGCAGGAGCTTTCATCCTGCAGCCAGGTCTGCAGCTAGGGAAGACCACAGCAAGTCCGATTTACTCAGACTCACTGGAGGTGGAGGGAACTTCAACGTCATCTTATCCAACCCCTCCTTTGTAAGGAACACAGAGGAGGGGCCAGTAAGTGGCGTGGAGGTCAAGGCACTGGATCCCACATGGCCAGCGCTGCCACTTGAGTTCAAGATTCTAGGGCTTGAGAATCATGCCAGGCACATGTGCATGCGTGCCCAAAAATCCCAAGAGGAGAGTGAAGGAGAAGGGACTGCAGGGGCATGGTCATCCCACTAGAAGGTGCTTTCTCACTTTCCCTCTCCCTCTTTCTCTGTCTCTACCTGGGAAACACGTGTGGCCTACAGCAAAACCACAACAGCAAACAAACAGAAGGACAGTGATCTTAATAAAGCCACACAGGAGGTTAACGGTGAAAGCGGAAGTTGAACCAGGCCTGAGATTCTTTTTTTTTTTTTTAAGAATTCATTATTTGACCAACCAGGCATAGCAGTTATGTCACTGGACTCCCACATGACTGACCATGGTTTAAGTCCCAGAACCAGTGGCTTGAAACTCACACTGGGCAAGTGTGCATGCGTACCCAAGATCCCAGAAGGAGAATGGAAGACAAGGGATTACAGCGTGGCCATCTTTCCTGGGGTGTGATTTCTCACATTCTCTCTCAGTGTCTCTCTAGTGAGGACACACCCTAAAGCAAAAACCTCTACAAATAAAACGTTATTTAAGGGACCAGCAGTTAGCACAATGGCTATGTCGCTGAACTCCCATGTAGTCGACCGCCGTTCGAGTCCCAAACCCGGGGGCTTAAACGTGCGTACATGCCCAGGATCTCAAGAGGAGAATGGAGGAGAAGGGATTGTGGCGTGGCCATCCCCCTTGGGGGGGTGATTTCTCGCTTTCTATCTCTCTGTCTCTCTCTTTATTTCTGGCGAGTGCATGCACCCTATAGCAAAAACCTCTTTAAAAAAAGTTATTTAATTTTATTTATTATCATTATTAATTTGCTGAAGGGCACATGCACTCACCAGAGAGAGAAAGTGAGAAAGCAAGCTGCCGGATCCGGGACTCAAACTGTGGTTACCCATGTAGGAGTCCAGCACCTTAACCGCAATGCCACCTGCTGCCCACAGGCCTGGCATTCCAAACAGCTGGTTTCTACCTGTGGTCCTAAGACTCCTCGCTGTGACTATGATTTTGGATAAGTCACTGTGGCCCCCTGAGATTAGTTTCCTCAATGTAAAATAATCCTTATCCTTCACAGGGTTGTAAGGATGGGATCCAGACAGTGATGGTTGGGCTAATGACACCGTGGCCCGAGTCCTTGCTATGAGCCAGGCACATTAAGGCACTGGGCTTTACAGGTGTTAACACATTGCAAGCCTCACAGCAACTTAAAGGAAGATGCTGTTATTTATCCTGACTTCACAGGTGAAGACGCATGGCCCTATGGAGGTCACCCAGGGCTCCATGTCTACTGCACCTACAACCCATGTGGAGAGACCCATGCTCCCTGTCCGTCTGCAGATTTAAAACTATGGGCGACAGGGCGGGGCATAAGGCAGCCAAGCTCCTGACCTACTGGGAGGCTGGTTTTTATGATGATGGGCTCTGGAATCTTCCAGAAGCCATTATCTTCATCCCAGGAGGACTCCCGCCTAATCTTCTCGAGGTTGCTGTAGTTACAGTCCCTGCGGATCAGAGGCTGCACCTGCTCTAGGAGCTGCTGGAAGAGCATAGAGTCGCGCTCCTGTCGCCGGATGGTGGCCAAGTAGTCGATCTTCTCCAGCTCAAACTCCGACTGCAGGTCTTTGATCTCCACCTCTGCTGCCCGCAGCTGAAAGCAAAGGATGACGAGCAGTGAGCAGAGGACACCTGGCCATCCATCCAACCGCCATCCACTAACTGTCCTCCCGCAGCCACTCCGCATCTGCCCCCAGTCCGTTTGTCCATCCATTCTTGCCCCCATGCCTGTCCAGCCATCCGTCCCTCTAGCCATCCTCTCTGGGGCCCACCAAGCCTTCCCTCTGCACACTCGCTCACCCTCCCACCTCTCCCCTCAGCGATTGACTGAGCACCAAGTGCGTCCACAGCCTGCAGAAAATCAGGGAAGGTGATTATCAAGCCCAGCTGCCAGCTTTTGGCTTGTACCCCACAACACTGTAGCCACCGCAGCCCCAAAAGATCTCAGCGAATGGCACACGATTTTTCCAGGGGAACAATAGGCATGCACTCCGACTCCGGTGTCCTCTCTCTCACCACGAGCCCCTGCTATGGGGGGACGAATGCCATGCTGTAGAATCAGACCCGCTTTGATCTGACCGTGGCTTCCAGATTCTGTTGGTCTCCTACCCAGGCTGCCAGACTGCCCCTCCATTCCCTTCGAAGCACAGGTGGCTCCCAGCTGTAACCACGCCCACCCTGAACCCAAGTCTCCCTGGCGCACAGTCTATTTCCTTGACGAGCATGAAAGGTTTGATTAGTAAAGGAGGCTGTAGGCCCAGATGGTGGCACAGCAGTCACATGATGCCCTCTGATGCTGGACAAACACGGGAAGGTGCCAGGTTCACAACCTGAGGCCTCCCTGTACAACCGGGCACACGTGCACGCGCCCTAGATCTGGGCTGGCTGAGGGGTGGGCCACAGCGTGAAGACCTTGTTGGGTACGTGTGTGTCTCAGAAGAAAACATAAGGATGTTTTAAATGCATGGGAATGGCAACGATCCAGGCGAGAACAGAACGCCTAGTAGGACACAGGTGGGCAAGGGAGCCAGCGGGCTGGTAACGGGTTTCAGGTGAACTAGTACTGCTCCCTTTCTTTTTTAAAAATTATTTATTTAGTTTTATTTATTCATTCATTTATTGTTAGTTTGACCAGAGAGAGAAAGAGGGGAAGTGAGAATGCAAGCCGACAGGTCTGGAACTCGAACCATGGTCAGCCATGTGGGTGTGTCCAGCATCTTAACCACCACACCACCTGCTGGTCCCAATAATGCTCCATTTCTTAAGCTGGACAGTAGTATTCATGAAATAATCATGTATTTTTGAAAATCTGAAAATATTAATAATAATTTTAGGGACCAGCATTTAGCATAATGGCTATGTCACTGGACTCCCACGTAGTCAACCGCAGTTCGAGTCCTGGACCTGGTGGCTTAAAACTCACGCCAGGCACGTGTGCGTGCGTGCCCAAGATCCTGAGAGGAGAATGGAGGAGAAGGGATTGTGGCATGGTCATCCCCCCTGGGGGGTGATTTCTCGCTTTCTGTCTCTGTCTTTCTCTGTCTGACGAGCGTACGCACCCTATAGCAAAAACCTCTCCTAAATAAATAAATAAATAAATAAATAATAAATAAATAAATAAATAAATAAAATAAAATAATTTTACATTTTTACTTTTATTTACTTCTCTCATGAGACAGAGAGAGAAAGACAAGCACCCTCAATGGGATCCCACACCATGCCTTCCCAGCCAGCCAGGACCACGGGCATGTGTACGCCCACAGCTGTACAGGTGGACCTGCAAACTGAGTTCCAACCTTCCGGACAGCCTCGTGGAGCCCTTGCTGCCACTGAGCCACCACGGCTGGGTCACACACCAGTTTTTATAACAGCTTTATTGAGAAGTAATTCACATGTCATACAATTCGCCCAGTTAGAGTGTGTAATTCAGTGGTTCTTAGTGTTTCCACAAAGTCGTACAACCATTGCCACAATCAATTTCAGAATTTTTCACCACCCTAAAAGGAAGCCCGTAACTATTAGCAGTCACTCCCCATTTCTCCCCAGCACCTCCCCCCACCCCCCACAACCCCTGGCAACCAATCTCCTCCTGTCTCTGCAGATCTGCCTGCTCTGGACATTTCACATAAATGGAATCAGGGCCAGCAGGTGGCGCAGAGGTTAAGGTGGCTGGATTCCATGTGGCCAACTATGCAGTTTGAGTCCCACACCTGGCGGCTTGAAAACACACCAGGTGCGTGTGCGTGTGTGTCCAAAATCTTGAGACTAGAAAAAAGAAGGGACTGCAGCACAGCCATCTCCCCTGGCTTCCTCTCTCTCTCTCCTGTAAGCACTCATGCCCGATAGCAAACTTAACAAAGAAAGAAAATAGAATACTTTGTGACCTTCTGTGTTTGGCTTCTTTCTCTCAGACAATGCCGTCAAGGTCTATCTCTGCTCTAGGACGATCAGTACTTCTTTCGTGTTTGCTGCCGCCGAATAACATTCCATTGAATGGATATGCCACATTTCTTGTCATTCACGACTGTCTCCCTTTTGGAGCTATTAGGAACAGTGCTGCATTGAACATCAGTGTACAGGTTTCTGTGTGCACATGTTTGCATTTCTCGTGAGTGTAACTGCTGGATTATATGCTTACACTGTGTTTAACCAGTTGAAGAACCTCCAGACTGTTTTCAAAAGCGGCTGCACCATATTATGTACCCACCACGGATGATGAGGGGCATTTCCAGAGTCCTTAGCAACACTTGTGAGTCTTTTTATTATAGCCTTTTTTCTTTTTTTTGCATTTGCCATAGGGCACGTGTGCTCACCAGAGTAAGACAGACAGAGGGAAAGTGAGAAATCACTCCCCGGGGGGATGGCCATGCCACAATCTCTTCTCTACTATTCGCCTCCCAGGATTTTGGACACGCACATGGCTCTGGCATGATTTTCAAGTCACCAGGTCCAGGACCCCAACCGGATGCCCCATGTTGAGCCACACATGAGCCCAGCACAGTAACCACCAGGCCACCTGCTGGCCCCTATTATAGCCTTTCTAACGGGTGAGAAGGGGTTTCTCTTTGTGGTCTTGATTCACATTTCCCACGAGTATGTGTACCTGGCCCCAGTGTTGCCAGCTGTAGGAATCAACCCTAAAGAAGCCTACCACAGTACAGAAGTACCAGCACAGGCTGCTCACTGCAGTGCTCCTACTGCAGTGCAAGCCTGGAGACCACTCACGTGTCCATGAACACAGGCCTGACTGGGGCCGGCCCCATAGCCTAGTGGTTAAAGGAGCCACTTCCCACATGGCACGCTGCGGTTCAAGTCTCAGCCCCAGCAGCTTGAAAGACACTCCAGGCACATGTGTGTGCATGTGTGCCCTCCAATCCTGACAGGATGGAGAAATGGAGGAGAAGGGATTGTGGCATGGCCATGCCCCACTGGGGGCTGCTTTCTCTCTCTCCTCTCTCTCTGTTTCTCCCTGTGAGTGCATGTGCCCTCTGGCAATTAAAAAGGAAGAGAGTGAGAGAAGACTGACTGGACCCGCCTGGTAGTGCAGTCAGTAGCCTAACGAACTGCAGTGACTACACAGTGACAACCTCATGATGGAGTAATATGTAGCTGCAAAAAAAGGATGCGCAACCTCTACTGTACACACTGCCATGGAGAAGTCGTCAGGATATACCGTGACGCGGGAAAACGAGGTAAAAGGAAGTGCATTTGTAGCTATTGTGATCTAAGACAGGGAGGGCGTGTGTGTATACGTTTGTGTACACACTCACACGCATATCGATTTCCTCACACTAAAAACAACACACAGAGCGTTCTGGATACCTGAGGATGAAGGCAGCCATCAGAGTCCGAATCTCTCTGACAAGATCCTCCAAAACTCACAGAACAACAAGGAGAGAAAATAAACCACCTCAGCCAGACTACAGCATGATAGGCAGACAGAAAACACCAGAAGCTTCGAATTCCTTGTAAGCAGAGAGACTCCAAGGCCAGCAGATGGCTTCTGAGCCTCTTCTCAGGGGAGAGGACCCAGCGCAGCTGGAGCAGGGAGAACAAGGAAATGGAAGGGGCAGGTCAAATCAGCCCCCAAAAGAGAAAGTCCCACCTGAGAGGAAGACTTGAAAACGGATCTGAAACCTAAAGTGGGAAACAGGCAGAAGAGACAGAACAGGCCCAGGCCCAGTGGCACCGTTTCTGGAAGGCACTGCAGGAGGGCAGCTAGAAGGGAGGCGCCCTTGAGGGGGAAACGAAAGGTCCTACAGGAACAAGAAAACCCACAAAAGACATACGACCCCCAACACCAAAAACAAAAACAAAAACAAGAAAGCTTTGCCCCCTGGTATTGTGCCTAGGACTGTTACTGTACTTAACAAAAAGGACTTGGCAAATGGAACCAGATTGTTAATAAATTGACCTTAAAATAGGGAGATCACCCTGAATCTGGGTGGACCCTATGTGGGTCTTTCAAAATATAAGGGGACACCAAGTGGCATGGAATTTAGAGCTAGGTCCCACACCTGGTGGCTTGAGAATCAGTGCCACAATGGCGGGCGTGTGTGTGTGTGTGTGTGTGTGTGTGCGCGCGCGCGCGCACGCGTGCCTATAATCCTGAAAGGAGAATGGAGGAGAAAAGATTGAGGCATGGCTATTCTCCCAGAGGTGATTTCTCACTTTCCCTCTCTCTGTCTCTCTCTCTCTGGAACCACATGTGCCCTATGGCAAAAAAAAACTTAAAAAAAAAAAAAAACATAGCTGGGGTTATGGCCCCATAGCTCAGCAGTTAAGGGAGCTGCCTCTCACATGGCCAGCCACATGCTTTGAGTCTGGGGCCCAGCGGCTTGAAAAACATACCAAGTGCTTGTGCATGCCTGCCCAAAGTCCCAATAAGATGGAGAGATGGAGGGGAAGGGATTCTGGGGTGTCTAGGCTCCATGGCAGGTGCTTTCTCTCTCTTTATTCTGTCCATCTGGCAAGCTCATGTGTCCTCCAACAACTTCAAAAATCTGAAGGAAATTCTCCAAAGCATAAGAACACAAAAGAAATGAGCAGATTCAAAATGTAACATGACCCTGGGACCAGCAGGTGGTGTGGTAGTTAAGGGTGCTGGACTTCCATGCAGTCAACCATGGTTCAAGTCCCAGACCTGGCAGCTTGCTTTCTCACTTTCTCTCTTTCTCTCTCTCTCACTCTGTCCCACTCTGAACAAATAAATAAATAAAGTTAAATAACATAATTATTTAAAAATAAAAAAGTAACACGACCACCAACTTGAATAAAATTTTCTGAAAGAAGCATTCACAGGTATGAAAATTTCAAGTCAGATATAGAAAAATTGAAAACAGAAAGACAGAAAAACCAGACATGTGAAATGTGAAGAGTTCTTGAAACTCAGAAAGGAAGAAGAGAGAAAACACAAATGTAAACCAAATGACAAGGTATCCAAAGGAGAACAAATGCAACTAAAAATATAATAAGCGGTATTAAGAAAAAGGCTGGGGCCTGGTGGCAAAGGCAATCAGACCCCACATGGCCGACACTCAATTCAAGTCCCAGACCCGCTGGCTTGGGAAGCACCCTGGCACAGTGCCTGCGTGCCCAAAATGCAGAAGGGAGAGACGGAGAGCGGGTGCAGCATGACCGTGCCCCTGCCAGGTGCTTTCTCCTCCTCCCTTGTGAGCGCACACACTCTCCAACAAAAAGAGAAAGAAAAGATCTGAAAATGGCCGAGGAATTGTTTTTAATTAAGTAAGTTAAAAGGGGAACAAATGGGCTCTTCTCAGAAGCCCAAGGTGATCTTTGAAAAGGGTTTGCTATTCACTTGACCCACAGAACCCCACAGAGTCGTACAAATCACAAGGTTCAAATCTTCATGTTCACTTTAAGAACACTGGTGAAACTGCCCAGGCTGTCAAGGGTATGCATATCGCAAAGCCACCAAGTATCTGAAGGATGTCACTTTACAGAAGCAGTGTGTGCCATTCCATCATTACAACGGTGGAGTGGGTACGTGTGCCCAGACTAAACAGTGGGGCTGGACACAAGGTCGGTGGCCCAAAAAGAGTGCTGAATTTTTGCTGCACCTGCTAAAAAAATGCAGAGAGTAATGCTGAACGTAAGGGGTTAGATGTAGATTCTGTGGTCCTTGAGCACATTCAGGGGAGCAAGGTGCCCAAGACACGCCATCGTACTCACAGAGCCCATGGGCGAGTTAATCCACACTCGAGCTCCCCCGGCCACATCCAGACGATCCTCACTGAAAAGGAGCAAATTGCTCCTAAACTGGAAGAGCAAGTCGCACAGAAGAAAAAGATATTCCAGAAGAAACTGAAGAAACAAAAACTTATGGCGTGGTCGCCAGGGAGAACCTGCTGCTGTGCTGACCGTGCTCTGCCGTACACGTTGTCCATGGAGCCATTCTGAGAAGAGGATTCCTCATGGCTCCTGCAAACTAGTCATTTCGGGGGACAGGAGAAATGAAGGTTTCTACTGGTAATTCAGCCTCCAGCAAACAAAGCTAGCGTGATTGAACTTCAAGAATTCAAAAGAAACACACCATCCATCAGATGACAAGAAATCACCACAGGACCACAAGAAATATGGGAAAGCAAGAAAATACCTCTCCTCCAAGGGAAAAGAATAACTCCTCTTCATCCACAAGCAGTTCAATGCAAATCATGGAAATGTCTGATAAGGAATTTAGAGTATTCATAATGGCGAAGCTAACAGAGATGGAAGAGAAGAGACAATGAACTGCTAAAGAGAAAGGAGAAAGAAGTTGACAAGTTCCAGGAGGTGAGGAAATTCCTGCAAGATCTAAAAGAGGAATTACACGCTTTACAAAAGAGTCAAATGGAACTGTTAGAAATGAAGTCTATAATACAAGTCAAAATCTCCCTTGAAAGTATTAAAAGCAGACTAGATCAT